TCCTATGTCCCTGCCCAGTGGGGCTGGCTCCATAGAAAGAAGTATTGGCCCTGCCACCCAGCACAAGTCCCTGAGGCTGCTCACTGCATTCTTCTGGCTATTGCTGGTGCTGGGCTCTGAAGGAGGCTTTTGCCAGTCAGCAGAGCCCAATCGGAGCTTCCTGTATGGAACATGCCTGTCCCTGCTGCTGCCTGGCTTAAGCTCCCCAGGCTTAACCTGATTCATTCTGCTGGAGCCTGGCAGCAGCAGCAGCAGCAGCCAGTGAGGTGCACTGGGAAGCTCAGAGGCTTGTGCCAAGTGGCAGGGACTGTTGTGCTCCTTAGAAGCCAGGGAGGAAGCCCCTCACCATGCAAACTCCCCATGCTGGCATAGAGCCGGGGCCATGTGGCAGCGAGACTCTGTTCCTACCTCCCCTCAGCAGGTCAGAGGCAGAGACTTGCAGGGGGCAGAGCTGTGCAGGAGGCCCAGCCTGGAGGGTGAAGGGTAAGGACTCTTGTGGCATGACTCCTTCCCACCTCCACAGGCAGACCCCAGCTGGAGGGGAAGGGGAGCCCGGGTCAGGTAGAGGCCTCCTTTGACCTGCCTGCCACCTGCCTGCCCTTGCTTTGTGACAGCTCAGGGCATGGTCAGCCCAGCTGGCCAGAGCACAGAAGCACTGGCAGAAGCTAGCCTGCCTGCCCACAAAGGTTCCTGGGATGCTGGGGGACTGTGACCTAACTTGAGTCAGGAGGGAATCTGGGACAGAAGTTCCATAAACTGGTTTAACCTAAATCAGTTAAACCTGATACTACATCTTAAACTGGGTTCAACCATTTTGGAACTGGCTTATGTGCACTGAAATTTTGTTCTGTTACAGATTTAAACCATTTTCCAGTCACTTGAAGTGGTTTATATGTAATTTCTGTCCCTAGCCAAGATGAACATCTTGGCTAAGTACAAACAGTCAAAAAGCCCAAGGCTGAATAGATGCAGTCTTTGCAGGTTAGTCTAAGCTGTGTAAATTGAACCAGTAATTAAGTGGACAGACATTCACTTTTGATTCTGGAAATGCAGCCACATGCCTGCAGTGGCTGAGGCCAAGAGATGGGGGGGCTCTAGTGCATGCCTCCCTGCTCAGCTTGGGCCAAGACTAGCTTACCCACCCTATGAGAGGGGGTTGGCGTAGGAGGTGAAAAGCATCCTGGGATGCTGAGAGACTGAGAGTTAACTTGAATCTGGAGGGGATCTGGGACAGAAGTTCAATAAATCAATTTAACCTAAATCAGTTGTCTGATACTACATCCACCCATCTTAAACTGGGCTTAGACATTTTGAAACCAGTTTATGTGCACTGAACTTCTGTTGTGTTACACATTTGAACTCGTTTCCAATCTCTTACACTGGTTTGTGTGTACCCTTGCTGTTGTAAGAGTGGTTCTCCTGGCCAAAGATAGCTACTTAGTTGATTTCCCTGAGCTTGAACTGCACTCACTGCAAACCCTCCAGGGCACTCAGTGATGCTCAATAACACACCTGTCAGCTTTGTTATTCTGACCTGCACAAAAAGGAGGAAGGTGGGGAATCATTATGCCAACCTGAGTTAGACTGTCAGCAAGGCCTGCATCAAGGAGCTGTGAAGAAATAAGAGGTGATTGGGGGATATAAGGACTGACATTGGGTGGAAGATTTTTTTAATGAAGGGAAAAGGACTATAGCCCAGCACTAATGACGACATGGATATAAAATGTCTGGTGTTTTTTGCTCCTTGTATTGCATTTGTCTTCTCCAACACAAGGGCATTGCCTTTGAGACTTTTAATGAATAAGTTTTCCTCATTTCCCATATCCCAGGCTCTTTATGCATTTAATATCCTGCACTTACTGAGAGGGGAGAAATGTAGATGCGCCTCTTACTCAAAGTGCTATTTTTTGTTCCCTCAATATGTCTGCTTCAGCTTTGTTGAACTGCTAATTAGTCACTTACTACACTTTTCTAGAACCTATTCAAACTGCAGCAAACACATTCAGGGGACTTATTTCCTCTAATTTGTCCACTCATATTTAGGACTTGCTTATTCAGTGTTAATTCTTTATAAACAGCCTACTACAGCAACTTTGCCCTATCAATGTTGTCCTGTTAATCTAAATGAAATGGGATTTGCAGACTGGAAAGAAAAAGAGAACAAGGATATATTTGTAAAGATACAACAGGGCAGGAGACAGGACTGCATGGTAACTTTTTTACTGCTCCAACATAGAACCAAGCTGTTGAGCAGAACATGGAGAGATGAGAGGGAAAGAAAGAAAACTTAAGCAGTGCACCAGCATGTGCCTTAATCTGTTCCCCACTGAAGTTGGTGGGAGTCTTTCTATTGCCTTCATTGAGTTTTGGATCAGACCTACAAGGCAAAACAGAGAGGGTAAGTGAAATGAGTGTAGTCACTCTGAATATCAGACCTCATCCAAGGCATGCAGAGAGGTAAAGAATGAGTAAGACGAGACTGAAGCTTAGCTTCTCAAATAAACACCGCTTCTCTTCACATTTCACCTCTCATTTCAGTTTTCCTCTAGTCAGAGACATGTTGATACTTTGCATTTGTAACCTCTTGATCCCTTTTAGCACTGGAGCAGTAGGGATTGTGAAAGTCAAAGAGAAATCCCAGGTACTGTCTTGGAGCTGAGCTGCACCACAAGGATTTTGTGATATTTCTGTCTTGCAGGTGACAAAACTCTGATGCTGTAACCAATAGCTTATGTTACTTAACTGCTCTGTTTTGTTTCCTAGGGTTTGGCATGACCACCCCAGCCACCGTTGGAGGCAAAATTTTTCTGATATTTTATGGCCTTATAGGATGTGCAGGGACCATTTTGTTCTTTAACCTGTTCCTGGAACGCTTGATCACAGTCATAGCCTATGTCATGAAGTCTTGCCATGAGAGACAGCTAAGGAGAAAAGGGGTCCTTCCTCATGATGGCCGACGAGGTTCAGGGAACTCTGAGGTGGACAGCTTGGCAGGCTGGAAACCTTCTGTGTACTATGTCATGCTCATTTTATGCATAGCATCACTTATTATTTCCTGTTGTGCCTCTGCAATGTACACACCAATTGAAGGATGGAGTTATTTTGACTCACTCTACTTTTGCTTTGTGGCCTTCAGCACTATCGGTTTTGGTGACTTGGTCAGCAGCCAGAATGCACAGTATGAAAGTCAAGACCTCTACCGGTTTGGCAACTTTATCTTCATACTCATGGGGGTTTGCTGTATCTACTCCTTATTTAATGTGATCTCTATTGTCATCAAACAGTCTATAAATTGGATATTGAAAAAGATGGATTGCCGGTGCTGCCACAGATGCCAAAGAAAATTTTTTAGGTCACGGAGGAACGTGGTGATGCCAGGGAACGTTCGGAACCGGCGAAACATCTCCATTGAGACCGACGGCATCAACGAGAGCGACACAGATGGTCGTCGGCTGTCTGGCGAGATGATCTCTATGAAAGATTTTTTAGCTTCCAACAAAGTTTCACTGGCCATCATGCAAAAACAGCTGTCAGAAACTGCCAATGGGTATCCCAGGCAAATGAGCTCAAATTCTAGACAAAATGGATTCTCTGGTGGGATAGGAGCCCTGGCAATTATGAATAACAGGCTGGCAGAGACAAGCGTGGATAGGTAAAATGAAAAGCAATGAGAAATACTTTGAGATGTGTGGAAACCAGTAGGAAGTGAATGTCATCAGAGAGGCAGAGCAAACTGAGTAGGACACGTTCGGTCAGAAGATCTCTCATTCTTTTTAAGTTTTTTTTGGTGGAGGAGGGATTTCCATTGGTATTCTTTGCACTGCTCAGATTGCTACTCTCTGTTCTCCCATTCTTTCTGTTCCACAAACAGGGCACAGAAGACAATATGACCAATAAAACATAATGGAGCCCCAAAGAAATCTTCTGCAGCTGATTTCCTGCATTTATGCTAAATTAAGATTAAGGGATAAGGAATTTATGGCCTTGGGAGAAATTACCTTTCACTTCTCCAGAATTAAATTCTTTAATTCACAAATTGTAATTAATTCTATAATTCATTTTATTTTTTGTCCCATTTGCTTTGGACCTGACTTCTGAATGTAGCATGTCTGGGACAGAAACAGAAACCGTTGTAAGCCTTATTCTGTGATGTCTATGCTATTGCACTCCTATTTTAAGTTAGTGAAAAACAAACACATCTCACTTCTCTAAATGGATTCCTGTTGTGAAATACTATCATTGTAAAGTCAACTTCTGCCATGAAATGTATCAGTGTAAATCAGAAATAGTTCCATCAAAGTCAATAGAGCTCCTCTGGAATTACACTGGTATAATTGAGAACAGAATTTGACCCCTAGAATGTCATTCAGTGTTCCCGTTAGTAGGACTCTGTCAAAAGTAGTAGAATCAAGATTTGATCTACTTTTCCTTGCTGATGTCTGTTTCCAAAGGACGTGACCAACCTTTTCTAAGTTATTTTTTCTTCTATAATTGAATGAATATAGTTTCCTTTAAAGCAATTAAATTAAATTGAAACTAGCCATATAGACAAGTCTCACAGGTAACCCTACAATAACAAAATAAGAACTTTTCAAACTCTGTTTGTACTGTGTCCAATCAAGACTGAACAACTGAGCATAACAAACAAGCAATAGTAATGCTTATATAGTGAATAGGTTGCATTATGAAAATAAATTACAAAGGAAATAGATTACAATAGATTATTATAAGCAACTATGTGCACAGAAAAAGTAAAAAATGCTGAAAAACAGTTTGACAAAGTCCGTTTTTAACATTCATGTAACTATCATTCTCTACGTGTTTTCTGGCCCTTGGTGATGATAATGACAGGGTCTTGATTAGAGAAATGGAAAATGTATAACTCCTCATTTTGCTAAATAAAATGATCTGAGTGCTCATCATGAACAGGCAGAGGACGTCAATGAGAACTGCATTAATAGTGAGAAAAACATGGAAACAGAAAATTAGACAAGTTAATGGCTGTCATATGGCATTTTATATCATGAGCAGTCAAAATAAGGGATTTAATTAAATTACAGAGATATTAGAAGGTAAGAAATCTAGATCAAATTCTTGCTAGCTTTACCCCAGTCAATGCCATTAAAGTCAGTGAGGTTTCAAGGGAGTAAATGAGCAGGTCAAATGGAGCCTGGCTCAGTGCCACTGAAGCTAATGGCAATTGGATCACAGGACTCTCAAGTTAACAAATTATCATTGCTAATATCCGGAACCCGTTTTAGAACATTTCAGTGTTAAACATTTTAAATATCTGATTTACTTTTCACAATATCTGCCATTCCTTTTCCCTTGTACTTCTGTGGAACAATACAGGTAAATGGATCAATTTAATTTGCAGTAGGAATCTATTTCATCGTCTGATTTTTATGTCTGTTTCAATGCTCTTGTGTTTAGGTTATTAAAACTGAAAGGTGATAGTAAAATACATTTTTAAAGTCCTTTTTATATTTGAAAATAAAAAATAATGGGAGAATTTCACTTGAGGTTTTATAATTAAACATTTTAAAAACAAAACCTACTGGCTGGACTAAACTGCGGCAAATCTGAGCCACTTAACATGTCTATAGAAAGGAAGGAAAAGCTCTTCCTAAGATTCAGTGGCAAAGGAGTTTTGGTACAATGTGCCCATATAGGTAGCATCATTTGAAAATATTGGCCTGATTCTGCTTTCACTCAGTTTTGCAGCAGCTGGAAATCTCTGTTGACTGCAGCGGGATCATTCCTCATCCCATCAGCATAAATGAGATCAGAATCATGTCCCATGTCCCTCGTTGTATGATTAAGGCACTGAGGATTTAACCTGTAGCTTCTTAAATGGCTGCAACACGTTGTCATTGGCACACTTCAGAAGATAATATCGTAACCAAGCTGCACTGAATCATCATATGCCATTTTAAGGGTTTCCTTTTCTTGTCTAAATGCAAATTAAATTAATACAAAAAACCAGTTGTGCTATAGAAGCTGCTTCTTTCTAGATTAATTCAGTGATGCCTCCATTCAGTAACTGCTAATGCAGAATTGACCATCATGGAAGCAATTCTGAGGTTGCAATCAGATATCACTTGTGGTTAGGCTGAACCTCTTGGGGCAACTCTCAAAACAGAGAATCTAGTAAACCCCTTGAAAGGCACAGCATGCTTCTCTACTTGTGCCTGGCAATTTACTCTTACCAGCAACTGGAGTTGGGGAAGGAGCCCCTCAACACACATTGCTTAGGTGGGATCCTCTGGAGATCATGGGTTCACACACAAGCCAGCCCAAAGATCCATGTTTTTCTATCTTAACTGAGCAGAAAGATGAGGAAGGAAGAACTTACTCTACTCTACTCTCCTTCTCATCTGAGTAAGAGGGAAACCATCTAGCTGTAAATAGATATGCTAAGAACTGACTGTTTAGTGTGGTCATTAGTATATTTATCAATCAGTCCTTTATAACCATGGAGAAAAACAAGGTCCATGCCGCAAGAAGCTAAAGCTCAGATCCTCCCATTGGGAGTTTGGTGCCAAACTACCTTTGAGGTCTAATGGTTTAAATGCAACAAGAAGAAACTAGTTTAGAGTAAATGAGTATAAAGTATACCTAGATTTAAAAAGAAGTGTATAGACAGTTCTCCTGGTAGAGAATAGTGTGGGAAAGTCGAGAAAAAGAGAGCAAAAGGCTTACACAGTGGAAGAAAATGATAAAGTGACATATTACATTTTGTAAGTTGGCTAAGAGTGTGGTGGTGAATATTTAGTTAGACAATATGAGACACCTAAGTAGCAGATCACGAAGATAGCCACAGGGCTATTTCCAGTGTTCTCAAGACTGTGTGACAATTGCTGTTTTTCTTTAGCCAAGGAAGCTTATTATATGTGCTATCAATACCCAGTTATTCACTGTCAAAGACAAATACGTAATCTGTAAAACCTTTTTTAAAAGATTGGAAAATACGATGGCTGTGAAAGCAGGGTGTTAACAGTGTACTGTAATCTTGACCCAAGAATAGTGTAGATCAGTGTTGCATAAGCTTTTCCATATGTTATTGTTTTGCCATTGCATATAAATCCTGAAATATACTTCTCTCTGCTCTTATAAACACGGGATTCTAATGGGCAGAGACTAGTATTTGCAATGAAGTGTATAGCGTTGTTGTGATCCAGTCAGTTCTCTTCTAAGGGCTAAGATCGGACAATTACATTAATTTTATCTAAGCATTTCTGTCCAGAGCTGTATCTTGGCCTAGAACATTAATTGACTGTGTCAATTTGTACAGGGTATCACACAGCCCCCAAATAGTCTGCTGAGTTTGCACTATTTGTGCTGTGTTTAGAAACCATCCTGAACTATGAAGGTGGTATTGACTCCAAGAAGAGAAGTATTGTTAGAGAAATCACGTGTGGACAGTTGAAATTCTGGGATTTGCAAGGTAAAAACTGAATTCCCATTTCAGTGATACTACGGCAGCTGTTATACTAATGGCACTAACCAGAAAAACCCTCATTGCCAATAAAGCATATTCATACCTTACCATGGTACTGGGAATGCCTTGGAATGGCTCGGGAACCTCCATCCACGTGCCAACATCTAGAAGCTAGCACAGAGGTGCCGAATACCCATCCTGTGAACCAAATAATTTCTAGAGTTATTTTGTTTGTTTGTTTGGTTTTTTGCAAATGTCAGATTATAATAATCATGAGGAATTGAAGGGACATTCTCAATTTAAAACCATGATTTTCAACCCCTCTCCCCACCCCAATATGTGACTACCTAATTTCTATTAATTCTAATGGGAAATGGGCTTCTAAATCTTGCAGATGGCTTTTCAAATTTCAGGTAATAGAATAAAATTTTGCTTTTGGTAACATTGGGGGCATTTCCATGCCTGCAATGGATTTGCATTGGGTATAAGAGGAGGTGGATCATACATTGTTTAAATGGGTCATTAAAATAAACTTAAATGACTGAGGCCCTGATCTTGCCAGTCATGGTCCTTGGGCCTCCTGGAGTACCACTAGAGTCAATGGATTGTACAAATGACTGCAGGATGGGAGCCTAAAACTAAGTTATAAAGCTCTAAGGTCAGTTATTAATACTGCTAGCTTATTTTTGTAGTTTGCTCATCTTGGAGAGTTCAGACAACACTAGCTAGCATGTAGCTACTTTCAACTGCTTTGCTCCCAAGCTTTAGCACAAAGTACAGTGTTCAGGCTGCATGTGCTGCAGATTGCTGGGGAATACTTAATGCAAACTAAAGCCTTTATCAGTAAAATTAACAAAAAACACAAATCTTGAAATTCTTCAGATGATCTCAGGGTGTGTGGAACTTTGTTGCCTGGATGCTCTGCTGGCAAAAGAGGTGTCAATAGAGTTATACTGATTTCCACCAGCCAGGGATTTGGCCCTGCATTTACCAAAGGTGAGACTTGACTTTAGAAAGGCATCCAACTCCCAGTGAAAGTCAATTTGGTGCCCACCTCATCCTGACCTTCAGTGGGAGTTGAGTTTGCTTAGGAACCTTTAAAAATCCCAGCCAGAAATGTAAACATTATTAAGTCTAAATTGATGTGACCGGCTCCATGAAGTATTTAAACATGAGCATCAACATTTCAAGTGTTGCAATGCAACAGCTGGACTCATTTATTTAAAAGCTTTTTGTAGTGAAGGTTTCATATCAAACAAAATAGCACCAGCAATATTTACAGTTTCATTCATTTAATTTTGTTCTCCTCAAATTGTAATTACATTTGAGACATCTAGAAATTGAATAACAAGCAGGAGTTTGGGCTGGCCAGGAAAAGCAGGGCAGTTTAATTTCTCAGACTGAATTCAATGAGAGAAACAGATTATACCAAAGGGCAAGAATTTTTTTATTAGATTCCAATGGAAGGTTCATTTCAAGGTAGAAGACACTGGGTTGTTTGGATTTACTCACCTTCAGCATCTGTGCAAAGGGAATAAGCACTATCTGTAAATATCCCCATCTTTGTTGAGATAGCAGTATAGCAGCCCTTTGCTGAGACAGCAACTGGAGCTTAGCTCAATATGGTCTGTCTCTCTTGCTCACAGGAGATGCATAAAGGGGCATGGGGGGCACATGCCCCCCCCTGAGAGCACTGATCCTCCTGCCCCCCAACAGTGAGTGTTTCGGCTTGTAAGGGGGCTAGTGCCCCCCCTGAAATTGGCTCCGCCAGCAGCACGTTGGTGGCTGAAGTGCTGGCATTTCCACCGCCACCATGCCATGCTGCCGGCACACTCCCCCCCGCCTCCCAGTTGCTGGCTAGCCACTGGAGGACCCCGCTGGTTATGCCCCGCTGGCACCAGACTTGGGAGGCACCAATTGCCTGTGGTCTTGTTAATGTATCTACAGCTACTAAACCTGTGTTCAAACTGTGAATTCCCAGGCATGATTATTTTGTCCTGTTACATTTGAAGCTGAGGAGAATTGCTATGTAAAACTTTGCAGCTGGGCAGAAAATACAGTTGTGTCCCCGTGTGTGTACTCTCCGAGGGTCTCCACTATCATGGTTTGCCCAGTCCACAGAAGACCAAACTTTCCTCAGTCCCTTTCCAAGTGTTTCTCAGCTGCACTCTTTTCCTTGTCTGCTTCATGATTACTTCCAGAAAGATTATGCTCCAGTTTCAAATCAAAACTCCTTCCCCTGCAAAGGCATCACTATCCTAGGTAGACTGCTAGCTTCTGTCTCCCCTTGAACCTAATGAAAAAATCCTCACTGGCTTCAATGGAACAGGGTCTGATTCGAGTAAGAGTTTGTAGGACAAAGTCTACAGATGTTTTACTTCCAGATAATCAGAAACTTTTTACTATAACAAACCAGGAAGTAATACCTATCAGACTATTTTACACTGCATAAATCAGAAAGAAGCCCCATAACTTCCAACATTTCAAATCAATCAAGAAAAAGCATTAGAAAATCTATCGTAAAGAAAAATTGTCTGGAATAGATAAGTCATTTTTAATTTGGTTTTCTATTATTCTATAATGCTTTCAACAAAGTGCTGGTGATCTTCGTGGGAGTTAAAAGGGGTAGGAGTCATTATTTTCCAGTTCATATAGTCTGTAGTTGCTGGACATGCTGGTATTAAGAACCAGCAGTTCCTGCCTGCTGCACCACAGCCTACCCTGCATACACCTGTGCATGATACTGCCCTACGGCTGGGAAGCAGTACTGTGTCAGGGTTAGGTCTCTTCTTTCTCTCCCAACCTAGCTATTCTACCACATTACAGAGGAGATAAAACATTTTCTTTAGCCTTTGTCTAGAACAGATCTAAGTTTATAGGTATGTAAGTTAATGGAATCCAGACAGAGGGTGCTGTCAGTTTACTTTCTAGTCAACACCCATGTTGGCACATCAGTAGAGGATGAAAAGCATGGGCACATCTAGGATTTTGAAAAGGGGTGTGTAGGATGTGTGGTGCATCATCACATATAACAAAACACATATTTTTCTGCAGTTAGATAGCAGCTAGAAGATATATTAACATGGTAGGGTCCCTGAACCAGATTATTTGGTTTAAGATCAAGGAAAAAACAAATATAACTTTCTTGGAATGTGCGCTATATATTAAGTTTAAAAATCACAACAAACTAGGCAAAATAGTCCAAAATGTACTGTTTTGTTAGTCCAGTAGTCATTGTAGTTAAATGTATATCTCTTATTTAGATTTGTAAAACAAAATCTAGGCTTCTTGAGCAACCTGACAGTGCATCAAGCACTTTACTGTCAATCATTTCTACACCTGAATTAATGTTTACCTGAGCTTATTTTTAGCTAGTACTGAAAACAGTCTGCAGGGATGTAATGCAACAATGATCTAGTACCAGGAATAGCTAACAGATAGCAAAATTGCAAAAGAAAGAATAACTTGATTAACAG